TGTGTGTGTGTGTGTGTGTGTGTGAATTTACATTGAAAGTCTGCCGTGTGTACGACCTGAGTGGTGTTGTCATTAACCTTCCTGTCTATATTTAGGCTGAGCCATGACGTGCTGTGCTGTGCCACACTTAAACAGAAAGTAATTGGAAGAAGGGATAGCCGAGGATGGAGAGGGGGGAAGAGGAGGAGAGAATGACAGAAGACAAGAGGAGAACAGAAGGGAGAGGGGAATGGAGGGTGATGTATGTAGAACAAAGAAGAAGAGGGGGAGATGAGAGGACAGAAGATGGATCATTATGCTCTTTTACATCAGCTCTTGTCCCCAATAACCAGAGAGACTGCTGAGGGACAATGAAGATGCATTCCTTCCCACAGCGAGCTCACAGCCCCATCTGGCTTTGTGTGCGTACGTTTCTGCGTTTGTGTACTGTATTATGCATTTGTGTAATAATGGCCTACTGTATTGCCCATTTTCCCAAAAATGTGTCTCTTCGGATATTATGTGCAGCAACACATAATATCCCTTGGCACAGGAAAGCACCTTTATTTGAATCATCGGTGGCTGCTGAAGTTATTGCCTATTTTTAAACTAACAAATTTAAAACCAAGCTGCATCTTTTCTCAATTGTGCAGTAAATGGCAACATGGGCTGTTTAAGTTCAGGAAGTAGGCCTGCGTCATTTTTACTACAGGCCTTTTTCACAGCAGAAAAGTAAATATAAAACAGAAATTGTTATTGTAGGAAAAGTACTACTAATAACAATACCAATGTTCTATTCAAGTGTACCAGTAAGCTTTGTATTGCAAGTACATTCATGCAGGATGGAGTGAAGAATATGTTGAATGAAATACAAAGAAAATAATTGGATAAAGAAGAGAAAAAAACCCACCAACCCTCATAAAAGACATTGATAAACAACTTGCACACACGCACACACACACGCACACACGCACACACCGTAACTACTCATAAGTCTGGGTAAACAGAAAGGTTACTTTTAACATGGTTACAGTTGTGATTCTGTTTTCTTTCTCCGTCTTTGGACTCTTTGGTGCAGACATGTTGTAATTGTACTGCACTGTCCTTTTGGCTGCCTGTTTCAGAATGTCAGCTGATGAAGACGGAGAGGCCGAAGCCAAACACCTTCATCATACGCTGCCTCCAGTGGACCACAGTCATAGAGAGGACCTTCCATGTGGACTCGCCTGATGAGAGGTCAGTGACCCAAAACACTCCCAGTCCAGAGCATCCTCCAGTTGTTGTTGGTCAGTTATCAACGAGGATGTAAATCTGTCTAATGAGCGCTCCAATCTTGTACATCAGGTGAAGTCTGGCTTTATTCAAGTTTAGATGCTATTTGTATTCTTTAGCCAGAGCTGTCGTTAAAGCCAGAAGTGAAAAATAAGCCTTTTTATGTACAGGTTAGAGCTAAGATTATTTTTAACAAATGGGTTATTGAATGCATACTGCCCTTATTATCATAGACCGCCTGGTGTTTATCTCACAGCAGCAGTTTGGATGATATATATATACATACATACATACATACATACATACATACATACAATCTAGTTAAAACCTGCCAGTTAAAACACCCAAGTGTTTCAAAAGTCATATTTTTCTTTTCAAATATTTGAGGAGGCATTTCTGAAATCCCACTTTGGCGGAGGATGTTAAACTTAATTCCGTTTCAGTTCAACTACAATTTCTAAATAAATATAAATATATATCATTTATTTATTGTGGGTAAAAGTACTGCATCATCAAGGGCAGAGGTTTTGTGTGAGGAGGTTTGTACTGTAGATTTTTTTTTGGGGGGGTCTGTGTGTGTGTGTGTGTGTGTGTGTGTGTGTGAGGGAACGAGAGAGGGTAAGAGAGACAGAGTGGAAAGGAGACCTTTCAAGTAGCGTTGGCATAAATTCTCCAGCTGCTCAGTTCCTTTCTGAGGAGCTGAGGTGTTTATCTCCAGAAAATGAACAGCTTTGCCCAGAAGACCACAGATGCTTCTGTGCATCCTTTGAGTTTGTGCGGGTTTTAATGTGTGTGTGTGTGTGTGTGTGTGTGTGTGTGTGTGTGTTACAACTGTCTGTCCAACTTTGTCTGTTATTTGTTGCTTTATAATAGTTTTGCCTCCAGATGATCAAATAAGCATAGTAGTGAACATAAAGCTAATAACTTTCTGTATTTTATAAAGTCAAGTTGTATACAAGATGCAAGTGGACGAATGCAAGCTCCAGATGTGTGTATGTTTTGTTGAAGTGTGTGTGTGTGTGTGTGTGTGCAAGACGTGTGCATCATTGAAGTTTAAGTGGGTTGGAAAGAAGTGTGTGTGCGCCACAACTGGGTGTCTGTGTTTCTCTGTGTGTATGTGTGTGTGTCACTGTATTTGTTGTACTGTACCAGTGCTGGCAGGACTCCAACTACCACAGCACCAGCCGTGAGCAGAGGGTGGCACATGTTGGCATGGTGCCCAACTGTAGGCAGGCCCATTATCTCTCATTAGCAAAAAAAAAACCTCATTATACAAAAAACACTTTAACCAAGGGAGAGAGCATTTATCTGCTGCCTGACCTTGAGAGAGTTCCCATTGCTTTTCATGTTGCTGCACGCACACACCTCGTGGGTGCCACAAATAGTGTGCTCCATTGTTGTAGATGGAGTGTAACTTGAGTTTGCCCTTGTTTTGGAGTGTGTAGGGTACACTCAGAAGTCTTTGCAGTAGAAAGGGGTTTCAGATCTTAAAAACACTGCTCTGTTTAGGTTCAGATGGATGTTCTTCCAGATCCCTCAAGGAAACATATGCATCTAACTCAAAGCAAAACAAAAGACACAGGGGTGATCGTTTGGGAGTCAGACAGGTTTCATTATTATGATCTCCTCGCGGCTTACACTGAGTAAGTATATTTGAAAGTACAAATCCCTACTTGCTTCTCCGGATAGCAGAGGATTTGTGAATATTTGAATATGATCTTTGGTTCACCTTCGTTACGGCTCTTTAGTGTTTTCTGCTAACATGTAAATATTGTACAGTTCCACAGGATTAATATTGTTTTAGTGAAGATCAGTGGGGGGAAATCAAGAGAGAATTTCTGTCCTTAGGAACCAAAATGTTCAGTATTTTCATTTTATGTTTAAAATCAGAAATATTCCTGATAAACTATATTATCCTCTTATGTGCAATTAACTAGATTTATAATTTCTAGAGTTAAAACCATAGAAATCTAAGAAACTGAACTTCAGTTCAGTCTTCTCTCTTGGCCCTGTTTATAAACCATTATATTCATCATCATTAAATACAGTTAACGTGTCCACAAATCCTGATGCATGGCGGGCCTTCTGCTACAGATGATGGTCTCTCACGCACACACACACATACACACACACACACACACACACACACACACACACACACAAAATTGAACCCACACCCATTTCATTTCAACAGATGTTGAACAGCACCGTTAATGGAAAGTCAATGGGGAGGAACAATGTTAGCAAACAACAATGCATTGTTCCCGCTAATGCATGGATGTGCATTTACATTTAGATACACGCAGACACACACACACACACACACACACACACAGACTGGTAGGCATTAGTTCTGCACCATGATCATCGCTCATTTGGTTGATTCTCTAGTTGACCATGTTTCCTCTCTGTTGCACAAATAGGCATTTATGTTAATTGTGAACACCTTGGTGCCTTCAAAAACCTGGTTAAATTAGTGCACTAGCCATCCAATAGGAGAATCTGTGACCAATATTTAATGTTACACGTGTAATTAATTGTTACTTGTGTTAGTTTCAGTTAATTGTTACTATCTGTATAAATATAATGTATGTATGTACAGTTGTCTGTTAGTAAAGCATTTTCTGTCGGGCTAATACTAGACAGGGAACAGTAGCAATAGTAATATGACGGATACAAATGATACCTTTGCTTCTAACTTGATGTTAATTTATTTTAAAGTGACTAGGGCTGTAAATGATGACTTTCTTTATTGATTCATCAGATCATTTTCTTCTTAACGGCCATTAATCAAGAAAATCTGATCTTTTTTTTTTTTATTAGTGCCCGTTAAAAGTCCCCTTTGCTCAGAGCGACATGTTCAGATTGCTTGTTTTATTTGGCCACCACTTCACCCCCCATGATATTCAGTTTATTATCACATATGACCAATATGATATTTTTACTTAGAAAATTACTAAAATGATAAATGGATTGATTATCAAAATGTTTTCTGATTAGTTTTCTGTCAAAAACACTTTTTACATTTGTAAATTGGACCTTCCCAACATGGAAGAACACTGGATTTCCATTACAAAAAGGAAATATAAAGGATCACGTCTCAGTCATTTTCATCCAATCAAACAGTAATGTGTGTCAGAAGCAGTGGATGGGATACAGTAGGTGTTGGTAATGCTGCTTCCCTGAACCTTGTCTTGTTGTGTGTCGTAAACTCAGAGATGAGTGGACAGAGGCCATCCAGATGGTGGCTGACAAGCTGCAGAGACAAGAGGAGGAAAGATTTCAGTGCAGCCCCACCTCCAACATCGACAACATGGTCGAGGAGGAGATGGACATCTCCACCACACACCACAAACGCAAGGTAACAACACCAGAGACAACAGGAGCGCACACATACATACCAACACACACTCTCGCACACTAAATACTCAAAATACAGAAATGATTCATTAATGTCAGTAGAAATCAATTTTTCAATGTATAGATTGTCATATATCAAAGGGTTGTTCAAGGGGAAGTTTTGATCTGACAGTAGCACTAGACGAAATATCAGAGGGTCACTAAGATAGTTACATGTCATCCAAGAGGGAACATTAACATTACTACTGAATGTGATGGCGTTGTGACCAACAGAGCAAAGGATTAAACAAACACTGCCATGCTTGGGATCTGTCGCTTTTGAAACTTTGTACTTTTTTGACCGAAATGTAACCGGAGCACTAAGTATTAATGTCTATCAAGTAGAGAAGGTTGGCATCAGCTGTCAGGTCAGACTAGTAATCAACTCCTGATTTAAATTAAAATTATGCAAAATTAGGCTTTATTTGTATTTAGTTCTTGGCTGCTTGTGTTTAGATAACATTTGGCATTTGAGAAGTGTGGCTTCTTTTGGCAAATGAAAAAAGGAGTTTGTAGAAAACTATGATTACATTCCTCAAAGAAAGGTATTTGTACTTAAACATATTGTACTGGCAGTAGTATTGAAACATTTCAAACAATACACTGCTCTATGGACATTAAGACATCGAAACCCATGAACTATTCACCTCGAAGCGTAGATGAATTGCTGACATTCTGCCTTTCCCCTCCCCAAGACAATGAGCGACTTTGACTACCTGAAGCTGCTGGGAAAGGGAACCTTTGGAAAAGTAATTCTTGTCCGAGAAAAGGCCAGCGGGAAATACTACGCCATGAAAATCCTTAAAAAAGAAATCATCATCGCCAAGGTTAGTCTGGCTGACTGTTGGTCTACTGATCGAGCTTTACATCTTTTTTTTTTTTTTTTTTTACTGAAATGTATTCAGTTATTTATTCTGACTACATTTAATTTTGAGGACGGTGTCAGATGTCAGTGTCTGATGTTTTTATTGCATTTCATGGAGTGCTCTTCAACTGTGTTCTTATTCATTTGGCTGATTAAAAATGTTTTTACCGTGTCTGTGCAGGATGAAGTGGCCCACACACTCACAGAAAGCAGAGTACTGAAAAACACCCGACACCCCTTTCTCACTGTAAGTACCTCACACACACACACACACACACACACACACACACACACACACACACACACACAACACAAACGGTTTAGATTCAGACATCTGTGTTCATGCAAATGTGCCGACATCTGTAAGAGCGCATGTCGCATACGCAGACAGCATATTGATCCTATACATACCTGAGTCTCTTGAGGCTAATTATGAGTTAGACATCCAATTGTTGTACATTAACGACCGCATCTGTTAGCTTTACACTATGCCTTTGATGTACACAAACACACACATAAGCCGCTGCTCATTTCTGTCACACTCCCTAAAAAGCACACACACATAAATGAACGTACACACACGCACTGTTGTGAGAGCAATCGCATCTGAGTTTACCCCTGTCACATCTGCAGCCGCAAAGAGACTCCGACCAACTGTTCTTTCGTTTAGCAGCTTCCTCCCTCGACAGAAAACGCGCACCTATTTGCCTGGAATAGGCAACATGAACTGTTTGAAGCTGTGAATGATCACGTTTTGCTGCTCCTGCTGTTTTAGCTCGAATGGGAACAGACTTCTTGTTGCGTACAAAATGGTTCTCTCGTTCACTTCACTGTGCTCTGTGTAAGGAGTGTCGATAGAAGAACATAATGTGTTATATGGAAAATCAAAAAACAATGTTTGATGCTATTCAAGTTATCCATCTGCACAGAAATATAAGAGAGAACTATTGTGTCAGTAAATGTATTATAATAATGAACCCTCGGTTTGTAACAATCACTTGTGCACTACTTTCCCCTTTGGTCTGTGGGATCATTTGAGTCCACTATATATTGTATGATTTAATAATCTGGCTAAATAGGGGCAAATTGTGTGTGTGTGTGTGTGTGTGTGTGTGTGTGTGTGTGTGTGTGTGTGGTTCTCGTTTCAGTCATTGAAGTATTCATTCCAGACTAAAGACCGCCTCTGTTTCGTTATGGAGTATGTGAATGGAGGAGAGGTAAGAGACACACACACGCACACACTTTCATGATGGTTGTGCTGTATGTGGTTACCCATCTTTGTGTTACTGCTTTAAACAGACAGTTAAACCACATCTCCACAACACCAACTGACATTGATTCAGCACCTATTCCACTGTAAGCTCTAAGCTGTGTAAAAACAGATCAAAATGGCAACATATTACCGGTATTTAAAAATATACATTTCTTAGCTCTTTTGTTTACATTTTTTAGAGTAAATATTTGTCTAAAATACGAATTATGTATCACGGTTATTAAAAGCGTTTTCAATAATAATAATGTATCCCTTTCCTTTACCAAAATACTGCTTTTTTTAGTTTAGTTTTTTTATATATGATTTCAAGGATGGTTTCTTAAACAATCGCCTGTTTTTTTTAGTTTTTTTTTAATATGTCTCACAGATAAATAAACAGTGTTTTCATGGTGAGCTATAGTGTAAGTGGAGATGTGTGAAGTTTGACTGTTCGATTGCTTTCTAACAGTTAATTTGCCAACCAACTGGCCTCTCGCTTTCCTTCTCGTCTCTCCTATCCGCTCCATCCCTGAACTGCTCGTGTCTATTTATGAACACACCTATGGGGCAGATATAGCCAGAATGACAGTCGGAGACGAAATGAGTTTGGATTCCCCCACTTTTCCATTTCTCAGATTTTTAATCGGGCCATTTTTGCAATCTTGGTTCATTCCCTCAGTGTAACTGTCACCTGCTCCCCTCCCAGATAGTTAGGCAGTTCAGCCAGTGCCAGGCCTGAGCAAACACACACACACACACACATACAGAAAACACCAGCAAACACTCACATACTTAGACAAACACACACAGCAAATTTTTACCTCAACGGACAAATTGTGACCACACATGCCTCACAAACAACCACAAACACACACACACACACACACACACACACACACACACACACACACACACACACAACCCATTACAAACCTGCCACAGTCACAGCTGCCAGTACACTGATGAAGGCCCACCTGTCGCGTTACCCCCTCTCACCGCACCCCGCCACACACACACACAAACACACACACACACACACATTACACACGGACACCATTTGAGCAAGGTGGTCTGTGAGCATCACTCCAGCGGCCATATGCAAACCTCCCTGAACAATTAATGGGTAGATGTGCGCCCCTTGGCCTCATGGGTAATTTGTACGACTTGACTGGTGCGCCGCAGCAGGCTGGTGTCATTTTGGTGCCACATGTGTAGCTGTGTGACAGTGACAACTTGACAACTGACGGCTAGGGAGAGAGTGAGAGAGAGAGAGATTAAGGGAATGTGAGGTGAGCGACTAAAAAGGCAAGATGAAGGAAAAAACGGAAGGTCGCGCCACCTAGTGAAGAAAACGAGTTGCGTACTCTTTTTAAGTATGAAAGTGAGCTTCCTGCCAAAAACAGGAAGATGGATATGAGGATTGAGCAAATGAAGACAGAGGCTCAGGGGGCAAGGCCAGTTAGGCCACTAATGAGTGCTGCACTGGAGGCAGTTGAAATGGGTAGGGTGTGGGGGGGGGGGGGTGCTGGCGGCGGCGGCGGCGGCAGCGGCGGTCGGCCTGTCTTTAACTAGACTGGTGTATTGATTAAACCCTTGATTTGGCCCCCGTTGCCGAACTCCACACCAGCACCGTGCCAACCTCGCCCAGAGGGTAACGTGGAAGAGGTATGCGAGTGTGTGTGCATGGCGAGGGGGGGCTGCTAGATGAGGCGCCAGCTGCCGAGCGCCTCCACCCGCCCTCCTCCGAGACCCCCCCCCCCCC